TTAATTTCATCAATCATCACATGTCATGTTACATCATTATTTTTCATTATTTTGTCTTTGAAAAGACAAAAGAGACAATTATTCTGTGGAAAAGATTATCAAGATTCATCTTGTCGATAAAAATCATATTTTTACTTATTAGAATTAGCAAACATAAATATTATTATCTTGATAACTATAATAATAAAACAATTGTAACGAATTATCTAGAAATAAAAGATTTTTACACTTCTTCTAAAAACAAAAACATGTTTTGGATATATTAAACTATACAATCTTTAATTAATTGTGATTTAACCTTTTCGCTTTTAATTATTTTATTAACGTAAATAATTTTTTATTTTATTGAAATATTTGCTATTTGATCCCATAATTGGTAAATGTCGGATGTCCAGAAAACGTCCGAGTTTGGACGTCCAGGGAACGTCCGAGTATGGACGTCCAATGAACGTCCGAGTACGGACGTCCAGAGAACGTCCATATTTGGTCCACCCAAATTATGTCCCACTTCGTACGTCCATAGTACGTCCATTTTACGTCCAGGGACGTCCGGACCAAAACTGGACGTATATTGGACGTCCATAGGACGTCGTGTGTTACTAGGGATATAAATAAAATTTTATGTGACAGTTGGGACAAACAATAACATAACCAAACTAAATTTGACTTCTCAAACAAGGAAAGACTATCTTTCCTTGTTTAAAGTGGCCTCTCAAGATAGCACTTCCTGTCTAACAATATTTATGCCCCCACTACCTTTACATTCCCTCTTTTATCTTTTTGCTCGATGGCATAGACACAGAATAATAAACCATCAGAATGCCCACTCTCCATGGAAAATTAAATACGCCCATCTCGTTCGCGCAGACGTTTCGCCATGTTTTAAAGGGAACCAGTGTTGTTTAATGAAAATTTATGTAGTGTACATAGACAAATTAACCCGGTTTAATTGACTTACAGCAATCATAGACATACTATACAATTATTTGAAGATTGTTAAATATAATAACATAAATATAAATATAATATAATTAAACATAAATATAAGCAATTACATAACCTCACAAATCATATGTCGATAAAGACCCATTACACCAAATCACCAAAGTGATTCTCAATCCGAGTCTGTGTTTTGTGTTTTCTTCTATAGTTTATTTTTATGAACGAGAGAGTAATTAGCATAATTTTAACTGGTATCTCCGACCACTCCATGGGCGTGTTCAAGATTAATTGAAAAATTACTTTGAATAATTGTAAAAAATAAATGAATTATTTCAGTGTTATAAAGTGTTATGTGTATGTAAACAAAAGTGACCTCTTTTATCACACACTATATTAGAACTGACTGGCCTACATTAAAAAGAGTTTTAAAAAATTCACATTTTTTTTAATTTTTAAAAATTACAAAAGAGAAAAAGAGTTTTTAAAACCGTCTAAGGTATGTTAAATAGATGAATAAAAATATTAATATAAAACTTACAGCTACTTGTTACAAATCCAAATCAGATTCAGAAGATGAACTTTCAGAACCAAGATTTATAATAACTGGCTCGATCATTTTATCAGTAATATTGTCCAGCTTCCACATTTTTTCCTCTTCTTTAATATTGTGATTTACTGCCTTTTCCCAGTTTTCAGGTTTTACATTATTTACGGCCTCCAAAAACAACTGTTTAACATCATGAATTTTAAAAGTGGTATTTTTTCTTGAAACTTCACTCTTTATCTGTGCCCATACCAGTTCAATCGGGTTTAATTCACAATGATATGGTGGGGATCTCAGTACTGTCATTCCACGATTTTTGGCAATTTCATCAATTTCGTATTTTTTAAATTTTTCTTTATGAAGGGCACACAACGAATAAAGTTCCTTTCTTATAGATCCGGGATGGTACGTAATATTTTTTGAACTCAGCCAATTCTGCAAGTCTTTTTTTAACCACTTGGTTGTGGGCAGTCCTTCTATAAGTCTGGAGTGATAACTTGCATTATCCATTACTATTACACAGTTCTTAGGAAGAAGATCTATCATTTGTTCGAACCATTTTTGAAAGACATCAGCGTTCATGTCTTCATGGTAGTCACCGGTACGAGTTGATTCAAAAGTTAATAAACCACCTTCAACAAAACCGTCTGAACTGCCAATGTGTACTATTATCAGCCTGCGTCCCTTTCCTGATGGTGGGTTTAAACCAGTAGATAAGTTATTTACAAAAGCGTGCCTTTGACTTGTAACAGTTTCATCCTGCCAAAATTTATTTGGTGTATGACCCTCGTTGATCCATGTTTCATCAAGATAAAATATTTTTCTTTTTTGGTTTCTCATTTCCTTTATGGTTCTTAGAAAATGTCTTCTCCATATGACAATATCGCTTCTTTCTAATAAAATAGACATTCTGGGATTCTTTTTCCAGCGGAAGCCTATTTCTTTTAAAAGTTTCCATAACGTACTTCGACTCATTTCTGGGTAATCCTTATCATCTCGAACTGAGACAAGAACTTTATCCAATGTTGGAAATTCTTGTCTAAAGAAGAATTCATGCACTTTCCGTAGAAGTCCTTCTTTAAAATGATATTCTATTTGAAATTTTGGTTTCCCTGGAGCATTACGTGGCATTTGAAAACTACCACATTTCTCTTCTTTAATAACTCTGTAAATCGTAGATTTCCCAACACCAAGTGTACTGCTAACTAACTCAACGGTCTCATCAACACATTCACATAAACGTTTGTCTGTAAATGATTTAAAACAATTGAATATTAATGTTTTTTCATTAACTGTTAAAGGACCAATTTTTCGGCGTTTACACGGCACTTCTAAATTTTCCATAACACTAGTATAAATATATTACAATAAACTGCACCTTGCAACTGAAGTACCTACTTTTAGTGAACTGTTAAGAATTTTGAATACGCCACTTGGACCTTCCTACAAAATGGAAAAACCCACTATCACATTTTCTGTGGAATAAGTTTAGAAGGTAATTATCTAGTCAATTACTGTCGTAGATTCCTGGAATTAAAGAATTACATGTTTGATTGTTGAAACCCTTACTTCGTGGAATGCACTCATTTCAGATAAAATAAAACGTTTTATTTTATCTAAAGAATTAAACTTTATTTTGCAAATAGGTAGGTACTTATTAAACTTTTATTGGTTATATATAACCAATAAAATAAACATCTTACATTTCTTGCAAATTCATTAGTACCTGTTAACCTCCATCACTCCGACACTGGCAACCTTATTTAGGGATTAGTAACCCTCACAACTATTGTATTCTATTCTGCTCCAACCTTTACAGCTGGTGGTCATACTCAATTTTAAATTGTTTTCCTATATACTTCTGTAAACTTGTTGACAAATATCTGTTTTTCATTGAGTCACCCGTATCAACAGTTTAGGGATTTGCATACATAATTTATTGTTTTATTACTCTCTCATACATAAAAATACACTATAAAACGTGGCGCTCGTGCTGAAAAACTTCAAAGGCGGCATCCGAGAGTGGGCATTCTGATTGGTTATTATTATGTGTACTAACAAACGAAGCTATGATTAATAAAATAAATGTCAGTATTGATAGATAGAAAATTAAATAAAATTAAAATAAAATAAAATAGAATACAATAAAATAAAATAAAATATAATAAAATGAAATCTTAAATTTGACGAATATTAACAAATCCGCAAATTCAATTTGACTGTCATTTGATCTGTCCTTTATTTAATTTTTTTATTTTAGTTCATTATCAAGCTATAGTTATTTTATGTAGCTTAACATATCTTTAAAAGAAAATTTCTGACGCGCCATTAACATTATTAGAAAGATTAGTATCAAACTCATTTGGTTTCTGTGTTGAACCTCGTCGAACACTAAGCTTTCGACTGTCTCTGTAGAAACTTAGGTATAAAATAATAAAGTAAAAAGAATATAATGAATTTCTTCAGGCTTTTAGCTAAAGAATAAGTTGTGAAAGATTCAGCAATCAATTCAGAATTAAAAATTGACGTTACAGGCCTTTTCTTTTTCTTGTTCTGAATATTTTGAAAAGTATTATATTTATTTATTTATTATTGTTAAAGTCTCTACATTTTTCTAATAATCCCTCATTATTCTGTTACAATTAAGAAAACAGGAAAATATAGTTTACCGATATATTTCAGCTCAAATAAAACTAGTTTTTGTCTTTTTGTCTCTCCCACTGAAACAGGTTGCTTTTGTTGGTATCCAACACACTTTGATATTATTTTACCGTCAATTCTTCTCCTCTCAATGTAAAAAATTATAGTTTTTACTATCACAACTGGTCATGAATATTTTTTGTTGTACCAACCGCTTCGCTAATTCGTTACAAAAGTTTTTTGTCTACCTAGAACTGGGTAAACAATATTTATTCGTTCTCAGAACTCGTAAAAGTGACATAAATCTTTTAGTTTTCCATAAATCTTTTAGTTTTATTGTTTTATTTTTGTTCATAAAGGTCTGCAAAAGTGACTTTTTAGAACCCACCGTTTGGGACATGTAAAGTTCGTTCAAAACGTTAAAATTCGTTACAACCGTTGAAAGATTGGCGGTTTCTTTCAGTATAAAAAGTTTAATCTTGTGTTGTAGAAGTGAGACAATAATTAGTTATCTTCTCAAAAAAAAGATCACAACGTTTTCACCAAGAGAGTATTCGATTTCTAATTATAAACAACGTTTCAGACATATTCCTATAAAAGTCTAAAGTTTGAGTCACTACAACCAATTTATGCTATCTTTGTGCAGATTCAGACTAAAATAATATTGAATAGTTCAATAAGCGAAAAATAAATAAGTATTTTTCTGTTTCAGGCGACTAAAAGTGCGACAAAATGTCTTATTATCTCCCTTATATTATATTTTCTGCACCTCATGGTATCAGTTTGGCTGTGTCTCTACTGTTTCTATATCTACAAAAGATTTTCAACGGGAGGTCTAATAAAAGAACGACATTTAAAAGTAAAATACTTCAACATGGCTGCCTACGATATTCCAACCTTCTTAACTTTGGTAAGTTTTTCACCAACTGAATTATAATTAGATACAACCGAGTGGTACGGTAGAGATAAAATAACGAAGATTTATTGACGCCTGCGGAAGTGCATAAGGCCCTAGACAATATACACTGAATAGCAACTTAAGGGAGAATTATAAATAGAAAAATTGTATCTAGGGAAACTTTTCCGGGTTTCTCTCTTCTCCAACTTCTTACACGGTCATACCAGATTTAATATCGTGGTCAATAGGATCCCTATTCTGCGATGCTTTGGAAAAAAACTGGTCCTTAAAGTACCGGTATTTAAATTTTTGTGGAAACTTATTTAAATTAAAACGTAATTGGGCGAGGTAAAATTCGACAACTACGCTGCTAATCTTGTTTTCAGCCGATTCAGAAACCTTGAGAAGCAAATAACTTTAGGGCGCTGTCACGCTATCAGCCGGTGGCGTATCAAATTTATTTTTATTTTTAAAGGAAAAATATGCTACAATGCAAATGTCTAGATCCGCCACTACCGTCTTAATCATAATTTCTTCATCAAATACTATACTCAAATAGAAATGTTGGCATTTATGGAAATATAACTTTATCGTCTTTTATACATTCGGTATTATTACTAAATATCTTTGTTTTAGGCGACATATTTCATCGCTCCACACAGCTACGAATCCAGGAGATTTTGCTTCATCTCAGTGCAAAAAGGAATGATTCTCAACTACATGTTCCCAATATCTCTACTCATATTCCTAACAACAATCCACTCTTTGAGCGGTATTAGAAAAATCAACATGGAATTGTGTAAACTGGAATTGAATAGCTCTGCGGAGTCTCTAAACGCACTGAAGAATGAACTGGAGATGTTAAAGGATAGAAAAGATGAATGTATGGATGAAGAAATAATGAGCTTGAGGGAATCGAAGTCTTGCTTGAAATTGTTGTGTATTATACAAACCGGATATGATATTGTATGGTTTGTGGTGGTTTTGGCTTTGGAAAATGTCAACGAAAGTAGCGGAATGGCGATTATTTATGCCATTACGTCTTGTTTACTGGTAAGTAGTCGTTAAAAATATATTTTAACTTAAGACATACGAAAAACAAAAAGTCCAGGAAGAACAGTGTAACAAAAAGGTAGGTCATAAATTAAATCACGTATTCTGGGACCAAAAATAGATTTTGGAAGCAATTGAAGAAATCCCTGGAAGCAGTATAAGAGTAGTAGTAGCTTAATTAGATGTTTCTCACATGATGATTTGGAGAAGATTTAAGGAATGGCAGTTTCATCCTAACTTAACACCCATTCACAAATTACTGGATGAAGATTATCCTAAAAGAATGGGGTTTTGCGGTTGGTTTTTAACGGAAAATACACCAAATGTCAATTTCATGGACGTATAAACATAGATGGACACAGCAATAAGATACCTTTAGCACACAATGTTTTGAAGCTTCGATAGAATGTGATGCTTCCACAATGAGCATAAGCGTGCTTGAATTTTTACTCGCGGGTAATTATTCAGATTTTAAAAATTGGAAGTAGTAATAATGTATAAAAACACGTTCAAAGAATTAAAAAAAAACGAAAGTTTAACTATTAACAAATCACGTCTTTATAGAAAAATTAAAATACAATTTTATTTGCTTTACAATTAATATAATAAAATATAGTTGAATTCAAGTTAATTTTTAATAGGTATCAAAATAATGCTACAATCTTTAAATTTGCTACCAAAATAGATCGATCGTCAATATTATTTGGAAACCTACATAGAAAAATAAATGAGTTTTATTCATTTCACTAATTTATTTGCATCCATGAGAATTATTAAATTAAAAAGGTACTAAACACATCTTTTTTAATAAGATGATGTCTACTTATAATTCAAAAATGTCTACTAATTTCATGAACTTATATCTTATTCAATACATTAATGAACATGAATAAACCCAATGGTACGCCTATTAAAATGTAAACAAACACGCTTCCTCATTTCCTAATCTTAAATAATGTAAATTTTAAGTACTTACAAATGAAATGAGAGATCGGGATGTAAATATTTCGTTTATTTTATTTCACTTTTCACAAATATCACTCAAAATACAGCCAAAATATCGTAAAACAACTTTTCCTCATCTACTGTAAAAAGTAAACAAACATGGAACAGCATTTGAAGTTTGACGTAGATCCATAAGACAGAGAACTGTAAACAACCGTTGCCATTTATAAATAGTTTTCAGTGCTTCTACATATAAAATAATTGATTGATATCTATTATACGCTATTATTAAATGATAATGCACATTATGTGCACACTTTATATTTTGATTACAATTAAATATATTAATCTAACCAATAAATTATTATTTTGGTTTGATAGCACCTGTAGAGTATAAAATACGGAGTAATATTTTCAGCGACTCGCGAATAAGAATTTTTAAAACAAAACGTGACAACAGTTGAAGGTGCTGAGAATGTGACCTTTTCAAATAATCTTGTCTACACAATTTTATGTAAATAACTGAGTCCATCTGTGTTTAAACGTCCATGGTCAATTTTATTAATCATGTTTTGTTTACCGACGAAGCTACCTTTAACCAAAAAAGGCATTATGAACCATCATAACACGCACATCTAGGCCGAAGAAAACTCCCATGCAAAAAAACGTCTCTTGATGTTCCCCACCTTGCATCAACGTCGTATATCTGTACTAGCTCTGTCCCATAGTGTTTTACTATCAATGTTTCTTTTGATATGTTTGTTTTTTGTTGTGTCCTGCATTAGCGATGTCATTTGTCCATGCTGAGCGCTTCATTTATTGAATTTATTATATTTTTATAAGTATTCTGGACTGAGGAGTAGATCAGGCTTGTTAATTTTTGGCTAAGCAGTAAATTAAATAAAAATGATGTTGAATCGTTTCGCACTGCATCAATATTTTATTCAGGTGGATTTGTTTCTAGTGATTTGGATTGTGCTGGTTGGTTGTCACTTGATTGTAGTGGTTGCGGTTGATACTGTACTCCGATCCTATTAAGACTCTTACGTCTTTTACTTGTATGTGTGTTTATTGTTTTCTGATAACAGAATCTATAATTGACTTGATGTTTCTCGTTGGTTTGATCCAGGTACATTATGTAACTTTTTATGTTGATAGAATCCGTCTTCTAATAATGTTTGAAAAATAACATTACTGAAACCATTCTATAATTTTCAATTTCTGTGAAATCTTTACATCCCCGTATATATTCGTATTTGATCCTCAGTTATTCATACAAAATATTTTAATTTACTGTGTAGAAATTACAGATAATCTATACATAATCTTGAAATTTTATTGTCTTTCAGAATTGGTACATTTTCATCAAGAGAAAAAGTTTAATGCCGACTCTTAGCGATCTGCCCGACGATATGGAAGAAGTTATTGTCCAAAAGGATCTAACGCATATCGTCACTGCCTCAGCCAATGTATCAAGAAGAGGATCTTCCGACAGCATCCCCCTACTGAATTCGGATACCGGTACCGAAATGAGGGAGCTGCGGTTGGATCATATAAGTACAATAACTACGTAAACTGATATTCTAAAATAATATTCGAGGTTAGGAATTATTACAAGAATAAAAGTTTAAATATAGATATATTATGTATAGAACTATATGAATTTCCTACCAAAAAAGGGATTTAAGAGATATACGGATCACTTAAGGGGAGCTTTTTATGTACAATGAAATGAAAATTATATTTTTTTACAACTTTATTAAAGAACGGCTTCTTGTTCATAAACGAAATGGAACCTAGCACCCAATGGACTCCTAAGCTCTGACGTCAGACTTCACTAGTCCATTCTCCAATTGTGCTCAAGTCTCTATATTACCTAAAGAGAAATAAAAAGGTAGTTTTAACAGGTAACTGGCAAATATGCATATTGCAACAGACTAGTACTTGGACTTATCTGTTTTTAAAAATTTCTCCTATATATGTCGGACAACCCTCCAATCCAATTGGTAGCATTCTAGCTTAGGCAGGAGGCTTAAGCCGTATATATCTTGGTAGGTGGGTTGGTCATGGGAAATGTCTTTTGTTACCAGATAGAAAAGGTAGCGCGATACATCGTGGAGGTTGATCAGCTTAATAAGGTACGGACCTACTGCAATTTGAGAGAACAACCTTTGTGCTTCTTTTTATTATAAAGCCAGACTTTCATTCTTCTTAAACATCCTACTTCTAACAACAATGTAGTGTTTATTTTTTTATTTACATTTATTTTAATTCATATACAGTCTTTTAACAGTAACACTAAAACACAATTTATTTAATTTACGCTACAAATATATTTATTAGACTGACTTTCTACAAATTAATTTCTCTTCTATAAGTTTGTCACGTTATTCTGGAATTCCATGAAAGTCACTCAGCGGACCATCGACTCGTTTGACAAATTTGTAGGCTACCCCGTGACGTAAGAGCACCGTTACTGTGTAATGTTAAATACCTGCTTTATCGAACAGTGTGGATAATCTTGACTATACTAAAATTCAATAAGCTATGCAAGGGACGTAAACATTAGCAGGAGTAGGCCTCTAACAGAACCGCATTTAGAATAATTTTTTCGTTTGGCCAGAAGTACAGTCGGTTCGCTATATTTACGCGGGTTTCGGATTAAAAATTTTATTGTAAGTACCCAGTTTTAATTACCTGCTCTTTGGGAAAATATCAACTGGTCAAATGAAATGAAAAATAATCCATAACTTTTTTTAATTAAATAATAATGGAAAATCTTTGATATAATTGACAGTATAATAAGGAGAATTACTTCATTAATGGAGTCTAATGTAGCTAATATAAACTTAATAATAATTTTATATTACACTTCACACAGAAAATATGGTCTTTGTATATTTGTTCCATGGAGAGAATTTCTAATCTATGGGCAGTGGAAGAAGCGCTAGTTAATTGCCGAATAGATTCACGGTACAGAATGTTAATCCACAATATATATCAAAACGCCACTATGAGAATTCAGTTAGACAGAGATTTGCAAACTCCATTAATTAGAATTTGTAAAGGTGTCAGACAAGGGGATACAATCTCACCCAAACTATTTACTCTGGCGTTGGAAGACATTTTTAAATCTATACACTGGGACAATAAAGGGATTTGTATAAACGGGAAATATTTAAATCATCCAAGATTCGCCGATGATGTACTCCTGATATCAACAACTATGGAACAACTACGAATAATGATTTCAGACCTAGAAAAGACATCTCTTGAGAAAGGACTAAAAATGAATCTAAAGAAAACTAAAATAATGACTAATACAGAAGACAGGTCAGTAATTACCATAGGTGGACCAAACATAGAACACGTCCAAGAATAAGAATCGGGTGGGCTGCATTCGGAAAACTCTCATATACTATCAAAAACTAAAAATACCTTTAAAATTAAAAACGAAGGTATTTAATGCATGCGTCCTAACTGTTCTGACATATGGTGCCTAAACGTGGACGTGTACCAAGAGCAACTTAGATAGAATAAAGAAAACTCAAAGATCTATGGAAAGACAAATGTTGGGAATATCGTTGAGAGATAAAAGACGAACGAGTGGATAAGACGCAAAACCGAAACAACAGACGCTGTTGCATTGACGTTGCTGACGTTGCTGACGCATTAAAATTAAAATGAAAATGGGCTGGGCATAATGAAAGATATCAGTATGGAAGATGGAATAGATAAATTGGCCGCTGGAGACCTTATACTGCAAAAAGGTCAAGAGGTCGACCGCAAATGAGATGGAAAGATGACATTGAGCAAAGCGCAGGTCCAATGTGGATAAGACAAACAGAAGACAGAGACAAGAACAAGCCTCATGAGTCATCTCCTAAAATTGTTCCTAAAGATAATTCATAAGAGAATCTACAAGCTGTGCGAAAGTCAAATTTCCTCCAACCAGTTCGGGTTCACAAATGCTGTCACTAATAGAGAGCCTTTGTTCTCAGTACAAGTCTTATTCCATAGATGCAGAGACGTCAATTGCGACTTATACGCATATCTGGTTGATTACGAGAAAGCGTTTGATCGTGTACAGCACGCCAAGATGATGCAAATACTAAAAGAAATAGGAGATAACGAAGGTATAGAATTTCTAAGGATACCGGGGCCAGAGATCATAATAGAGGAAATCGAACAAGCAATACGAAACGCAAAAAACGGAAAAACTAGGTCTAGACGAAATACCTGCGGAACTACTGAAATGTCTAGACGATGAAACTCTACCTGTACTTCTGGAACTATTTAATGAAGTATATAAAAATGGAAAAATTCCACAGGAATAGTTGGTGTCCACCTTTGTAGCAATACCAAAAACAATATATATAAACACAAAGATTATTCAGACTATATGACAATATCACTAATAAGCCATACCCTCAAAATATTTCTAAAGGTGATTCATGGAAGATTATATAGAAAACTAGAAGATGATATGGATGATACTCAGTTTGGGTTCTGCAAGGGACTGGGAACGAGAGAGGCATTGTTTGCTTTTAATGTCCTCTCTCAAAGTTGCTTAGATATGAACCTAGATATTTATTCCAGTTTAATCGACTTCGAGAAGGCATTCGACAGGGTCCGACATGAAAAACTAATAGAAGTACTGAGAAATAAAGATATATACAGACGAGACTTACGAATCATTATCAATCTGTATTGGAATCAAAAGACCAATATAAAGATAAAAGAACAAAAGTCCGAAAATATAGATATAAAGAGAGGAGTAAGACAGGGCTGTGTTCTGTCACCATTACTGTTTAACGTGTACAGTGAAGCCATATTCCAGGAAGCGATAGCGGATCTGGGTGATGGACTCTCTGTAAACGGAAGAATAGTAAATAACATAAGATTCGCTGATGACACCGTTATAATGGCAGACACCCTGGAATCGCTACAAGAATTGGTAAATAGAATTAACGATTATTGCATTAGATACGGACTAAAAATAAATAAGAATAGAAAAAGTAGAGACATACAAATATCTGGGAACCTGGGTTGATGACAAAAATGACTAAAGCAGAGAAATCAAAGTCCGAATTGAAACTGCAAGGCAAGCATTTGTGAAAATGAAGACAATGCTTACCGACAGAGACCTTCAGTTGCATCTCAGATTGAGGGCTCTAAGATGTTACATATTTTCTATCTTACTATACGGAATGGAAGCTTGGATATTGAAGAAACAACACATAAGAAAAATAGAAACGTTCGAAATGTGGTGTTACAGAAGAATATTAAAAATTCAGTGGGTTCAAAGGATTAACAATGCTGAGGTACGATGTCTAAATAAGGAGTTAGAAATTATGAACAGCATAAAAAGAAGAAAACTAGAGTATTTGGGTCACATAACCAGAGGAGAAAAATATGAGCTGCTGAGAATTATTATGCAAGGAAGGATCCAAGGAAGAAGAAGCATACGAAGAAGACGCATCTCCTGGCTGAGGAACCTTAGAGAATGGTTTAACTGTAGTTCACTACAACTTTTCAGAGCAGCAGCCAACAAAGTGACCATAGCCGTTATGATATCCAACCTCCGATAGGAGATGAAACTATAAGAAGAAGAATGATGAGTATGAAAGGTAAAGACTTTTACTAATTTTAATTGGGAATAAACCACAATTTTACTTTAAAATAATTTTATTTTGACGCTCTGACTTCAACTTCGGAAATAGTTCTCAAAATACATAACATTGATAAATTTATTAAGAACAGAATAGACATTTATACATAATGAACTTGTTATTTGTTTACCTGTCGTGAAAATATGTAGTTGCAGAAAATATGAACGAATAATTTGTAATGATTCCTAACAGAGTATTGAAAATTTTCGAAATTTCAAAGATTGTCATATGTAAGGGTATATTACCTATACTATAGTACTCTAATATATAGGGTGAGTCATTTGTGCGAGGAATTAAAATTGCGCATTCCGTCTATGACAGCAACAGAAAAAATTATTCAAGCTGTTGGCGAATATCAATTTTGTATGTAAATTCGGTATAATAAAAGATACAAACTATTAAAATTTAAAATTAGGCGATCTGTGTCCAGCAGAAGACGTAGTACTTGTTACGAATGGCTCACTTTTAATAATACTAGTAGATATTTCACTAAATCAAACGGTTGTTGAAAGTAAATGTTAATTATGTTGATTTATAAAAATATTATCTATATTATTACTTAAATTATCTATTATTCAAAAAGATGTTAATTATTTAGTCTGAAAATAGAAAATCGTAAATATTAAGCTTTATCTGCTATACAATTTGTTCAATTATTGTATACTAAACGAGTTCTGGAAATGAATAGTAGTAATATCCTTCTAATATAATGAATACGTCTTTCTGAGACACAGTCTATAACAACAACAGTTCTTCTTCTTCTTTAAGTTCCATCTTCTATCGAAGGTTGGAAATCATCATGGCTATACGGACTCTGTTGACTGCCGCTCTAAAAAGTTCTGCACTACTGCATTCAAACCATTCCCTTAAGTTCTTAAGCCAGGATATTCTTCGTCTTCCCACATTTCGCTTTCCTCGGATTTTGCCCTGCATAATAAGTTGTAATAATGCGTATTTTTGCCCTCCCATCACATGTCCCAAGTACTCAAGTTTTCGTCTTTTAATAGTTAATATTATTTCCGCCTCGTTTCCTATCCTTCTAGTTACTTCCATGTTTGACATTCTTTGAATCCATGATATTCGTAGGATTCTTTTGTAACACCAAAATTCAAAGGCGGCCAGCTTATTCAGATGAACTTGTTTGAGTGTCCAAGCTTCCAGACCATAAAGAAGAGTAGAGAACACGTAACATCGAAGCATTCTCAGGCGTAGTTCTAACCTTATATCCCGACAACAAAGAAACTTTTTAAGTTTAATACATGATGTGCTATTTCAATACGTGTTTTAATTTCTTTGGTTTGGTCTACATCTGATGTTAACCATGTTCCTAAATATTTATAGTTATTAACATTCTCAATTGCAGTATCTTCAATAGTCAATTGGATATTTGCATGTGCAGATTTAGTCATGATCATGCATTTAGTTTTCTTTAAATTTATCTTCAGTCCGTACTCATGACAGCGTTCATTAAGGCGTTGCATTAGGTTCTGTAAATCATTGTTGTTATCCGTAATTATTACTGTATCGTCTGCAAAACGTAAGTTATTCAAAACAACAACAGTTAACACTATTCAATTAAATATTGGGATACAAAACTCTTACAAACACCTGCAACCGTTGTACTGATAGCTACATCTCGTACGTCAGCAGACGAAATATGATCGTTCTGACTACACCATACACCCAAAATTACAATAATATCCTATAATCGCTACTCGCATGTGGGGGGGAATGTGGCTTACAATGTCGCTCAACTGCTTCAACTTCTGCTCCAGCTCCAGTAACCATCTGATCTGCATTACTGGTTGACGCGTCCGGTTCAGAACCAGTTAGTCAAGATCGACACCGATATCGTCATAGACAGTGTGATCTTGTTCCCACAGAAACGTTCTTCTTTTTCGTATGGATATATTTCGTGGAATCGTGTATATCCGTTGGTATCGATCCAATCGTGATATGCAAGGCATCATGTGACAGCAGAGGTTGCGATGGTTCAGCGTGAAAAAATTATTAAAGACCGTGGAAAAAACGGTATCCTTCGATGTTCCGCCACTGGAGACAGGTGGCCAGGTATGATAAGTGAAACAAATCAACAGGTGTGACAGATCGCAACTGTAAGATTTTCTTCTCTTCCATCTGTGAATTCGTCTTCTTTTTCTTATGTCAAATCGTCTTTTTTTACGTCTGTTAAAAAAGCGTCTGTCAAAGAAGCAGTGCAAAAGCGAACCTAACTTTAACGATGCAACAGATCTTAGACGTCACATAGAATGAACGGAGCAAGATGGCATGACGGTGCCGCAAGATGGCGTGGATAGTTGTTATTGGTACAGTAATCAAAAATAATAGTTAAACAGGGTCAAACGAAGTTAGGGAGGACATCAATTAGGGTCGATATCCAGGTATTGCAATATATCCATAAACGTATAATGCATCCAGTGCTTCTACATAGATCGCGTTAGATGTTGACCAAATGGCCCAATCCACCCATACACTGTGAATCTAGTGCTCCTTTGTGCATGTTGGCATCTTTGAATTTTCATCTAATCGTATTCTAATGGCTACAAGCTTAAAAGCTATCAAATTATACCTCGTACGTCACGATTGGATTGATACCAACGGAGATACATGAACGCATACACGCAAAAAAGAAGAAGAGCGATCATGTGGCAAGAAATTTACGGCAATTACGACGTTATTTGTGTTTCTGAACGTCTGAACGACGTCTGGGTACTGAAGATCTCTTATTAATCTGGATAAAAAATGGTGGGTTTTGATAATGCGTAATGACATTGATGCCATGTTTGTCTGGCTGTCTGGTCCAAGCGACACATACTCTGCTGTCGTGAGCCTTTGGAAAACTGTCTTTTGTACTGAAAATAAAAAATTACCTCAGAAACTTCGAACCAAAGAATTGAATTCTTGTATCCAGATATGGATATTTACCAAAGCAAATTTGGAAAAATCGATAAAACTCAAAAATCCATTAAACGACAGATGCTTAGCATTTTACTTCGGGAACATCAAACTAATTTATAAACTTATTTATTAAATAGAACTGGGAATAGGCAGTTAGGAACCTTATGGAGCGAAGAGATGCCAAATGCGGCAGATGATGATATTAAAAATGTTATAGGAACAATATGGAAACTTTAATAGTTGACTAGACATTGTCGTGTAAATGGACATTGTTGTACCATATGACTAGTATTATTACACCAAATGTTTATCAGATACTATTTTCAGCGGAAGTTCAAACATATTAAAATTTGAAAATATCCTGATATTATCAGTCTGAGATATACAACTAAAATTTTTGAATGAAAGGAAAATAAAACGACCTGATTTTGAAGAAAGTGGGCATTACAGATTTTGTCACAGAAATTATTTTTTGATAAAGATATATTTTCCATTTAGCAAGTAAATTAATTTTTGCTATGAACAAACAGTGCTGTGAAGAATTAGGAAAAGTATTTAACAAGACAAGGAAAGGCAAATCTTAATAAAACTGAGTAGAAGTGGCTAGAAAAATTGATACGTGTGGCTAAAATGCTGAAAAGCATTTTGGGGGTTAGAAAATTGATACTTAAAATGCTGAAAAGCATTTTGGGGGATAACGGGGGAATTCAGCGCAGTGGGTAAATCCGCGCAATAAAGTAACTAGTAAACTGTTGCATATTATGATAAACTATATAAGTCCATCTCTACTAAGCATCACTTTCCGCTGTCTTCGTATGACTAGAGACGCTGCGCTTAAAATTTAGTATGTTATGAACTTGAGTAGCAAATAGTAAGGTATACTTTTATAGATAAACGTGCGACTGAAATTATTCGACTTAAGTTACAAATTTTATAGTTAAGTGTGGTGCTGTACAATATACATAGTTTTACATCATTTACATATAATTTACATAGGTGTATCTTTAATAAACATCAAGTATTTAATTTGGAATGACACAAATACGTTTTGGGTAATGCGGCGTAATCGGCGTGGAGTAATTTCAGGCAGCGCAGATTTACTCCATATAAAATGTAAAGTAGTATTTTAAATTTTAGATGCCAAGATCTTACCATAGAACAAGCAATAAGTCTAGCTATGATTATGAAAATGAACATGAAAATGTCAATTAATTGCTGCAATAGAAGCTGTGCGATCTGGATGAAAAATAAGGGAAGTTGGCCGAAGTTTTGGTATACCAGAGTCGATATTACGAAAAAATATAAAAATAGTAGACTCAAAAAAAAGTTGAGCCGAAAGCCTGTAGTTTCTGAAAACAGGAAGCAGAATTGACAAAACAATTTTAAAATTATCCGCAATGTTTTTTGGTTTATTTCCAGATGAACTTCGGAGACTTGTGTTCATCTTTGCCGAGAAAAATATTATAAAAGATGTTTTTAATGCAGAAAAAAGGCAGGAAAAGGTTGGCTAATACTATTCATACGCAATAGAGGCAATAATGATAAAGCTTCATCTAAAGATGACTTTGGAGACTCAGATGAAGAAGCTGCTCCTGATACATATCTGGATAGGGTTACAGCTAAAGGCCAAGAGGGATGATGACAAAGATGAAAGTAGATAAAGGATTTCAATCCAGGTCGAGATGAAAGTGATGTTACTGAACAATATGATAGTAATCACAGCAGCTCTTCTAAAGATGAAAATGAAGAAGGTGGAGGTGTTGGAGATAGTGATGAGAAAAAGAAAGAAAAGAAGGAAAAAAGAAAACAAAGACAATTTCAGAAAAACTAGGAAAGAAATGTGAGAAAAAGACAAATCAGATAATAAACCAAAGAGAGCAACTACTGCTTTTATGCTTTGGTTAAATGCTACCAGAGAAAACATTAAGGAAGAAAATAAAGGAATCTCAGTAATTAAAATTAGAATCAAAAAGAAAGGTGAAGAAATGTGGAAAGAAATAAAAAAAATTAGAGTGGGAAGAAAAAGCTAAGAAGGATAAAGAAAGATATGAACAAGAAATTAAAGAATTCAAAGCTTCAGGAGGTAACACATCAAAAGAAAATAAGCAAGCACCAGCAAAGAAGGATAATACACCTCCTGCTAAAAGGGTCAGTTCACCGAAACCGGCAGAAGGAGAGATAAAAAGTAAAAAAAGAGTATAAAAAGAAAACAAAGACAATTTCAGAAAAACCAAGAAAGAAATGTGAGAAAAAGACAAATCAGATAATAAACCAAAGAGAACAACTACTGCTTTTATGCTTTGGTTAAATGCTACCAGAGAAAACATTAAGGAAGAAAATAAAGGAATCTCAGTAACTAAAATTAGAATCAAAAAGAAAGGTGAAGAAATGTGTAAAGAAATAAAAGAAATTAGAGTGGGAAGCAAAAGCTAAGAAGGATAAAGAAAGATATGAACAAGAAATTAAAGAATTCAAAGCTTCAGGAGGTAACACATCAAAAGAAAATAAGCAAGCACCAGCAAAGAAGGATAATACACCTCCTGCTAAAAGGGTCAGTTCACTGAAACCGGCAGAAGGAGAGATAAAAAGTAAGGAATATATTGATGATTCAGATTCCAGTAGTGATGATGAAAAGACTAAGAAAAAAAACTATTTTTTAATAATCTTGAAACTGTGATGAATAAATAAAAGATTTACTTAAGACCGTATATATAATACTGATGAGTGGCAATATCAGTATCAGTACCTGTACAAAAGCCAGTAAATATTTTAGGAGAAAAAGGTCAAAAACGTGTAGTATCAGTGACTTTTTGGAAAAGAGGTAAAACGGTCACTATTATTATTTGTGCATTCAGTGCTTCAGGGTCGTATTTACTAGCAATGTTTATTTTGCCAAAGAAAAGAATGACTGAAAAACTGGCTCAGCAGGTGCTTTTTGTAGATGTTCAGATAATGGCTAGATAGACGATGCGTTATTTACGAAGTGTCTAAAACATTTATTTATAGTGAATAACACCATAAATTAGCTTAAATATTTAACTTGGCTTACGTAAACGTGTCAACAATGGATAAAGCCATATTAGATTTTAAACTTTAAAACATTTTTCCGTTGGGTTTAAATAAATTTTATGATGAATTAGGTAAATCAGATAAAGAATTTACTCAAATTTTATCAGAGGAAAATGTTCAATAAAATATAATCGATAAAGCAGGTGAAGACGTCAACGGGTTTCCAGAAGATCCTGGTGCATTTCAAATTCATTCTCGATCATTATCTAGTGGTGGTTCCCAGTGATTTCCACAAAATCCTATATAGAGACTCTTATATTTATTTAGCGTCAAACTAAAGAAATAGCTTCTCTTCTAAATATCACAAACTTACAAACAACCATGAACTCAAATAAAAGAAAATCACAACATTATGAGATATTAACATCAACTTCAACGAAAAAACAATTTTATAACGTTGAATTAAAAAGGCAGAAGAAAATGATAACCAAACAAAATAAAAAGTGCGGCATCAGTCCGAAGATAAAATCGTAAAATATTAAAAAAAAAAAATGAAAATGTGAAAAGTAAAGAAACCCCAAAACCAAAAAAATCGAAAAGAAAATCACAAACGATGTAGATGATGCCACAACTTGATGATGTAGATGTCAATTCTACGGAAAACATTTGTGATATATGCGGGGAATTTGGTAAAGACAATAAATTTTGGTACCGATACACATTGTGTTCTGGATGGACAAATGCCGACTGCTCCGATGTAGATGGAGTTTAAGATTATATTTGTGACAATTTTAAAAATTAATTTCTGCTTTGATTTAACAAGTTTTAATAGAGTTACCCCCCAACCATGCGCGGATTTACCCATTGCATGGAATATTTCCGTGAAATGACATGACTTAAAAATTATTGTATTACAGGACTTGTGTTTCAAATTACCGGTTTAATTTACATTTTCATGAAAATTGTGTTAATTTGTTTTTACCTGCGCGGAATTTCCCTATTCTTCCCTAAATAGACAAAAAGCGATCAATAGTAACGATATAAAAACCACAAATTTGGGGAAGACCAATAGTAAGGTTAGTTTTAAGATATTGTTTGAATCTTTTAATGAAAATTAATTAAATTAATTTTCATAAACAGACACAACTTTATTTAATTTTTTAGTTATCGGTAGTATGATTATTTTAACAGTGATATCGTCACAAGACAATATTGCCTGTGCTCCGACGGGCGCAGATAAATGGGATAAGTTAAAAAGGAACAACAGGAATGCTACTAAGTAGCAATATATGAACGAACTCTATCATGTGTATTCGGTTTTGTTATCAAAAAATAGGTTAAGAAAGAAAAAAATACTAAAAATATGATTCAAAGTGTTGTAAAACGTTATACATATTGTATATAGATACATGTATCCTACCTAATATATAATCGAATATTCTAAATTTTAAACATTTTTAATGAACTGTACTAAATATAGTATTATTTTTTATATTTCACCTTAGACAAGAAAGATTATTAATACTCTAAAATCTTGTTTCTTCCATTTCAAAATATCATAAATAATGTAAAAATGTAATAAAATTAAGAAATTCTTAGCTAATATAACTATTTGTAAGTTTATTAATATAATACTGAAGCCTAACACTAATAGATTCATGAAATATGGAATGTTTCAGGTAGACCTAGAAGTAGACTTATCTCTTAGAAAATAATCGGATTATTAAACAGTAACATTGCAAACGGAAAATAATGTAGAGGTGTTTGTAACACCTGCAATAATTATAACTTAATATAGAGTCAATATTATTGCTGTTAATGGAAAGTGACAATGAGCTGAAAATATTTAATGAGTACAGATAAACTATATTTACCGCCCATTTAGACGGTACGAATTCGAACTTTTGTTCGGATCGCTCAATGGACGCGTTTAGACGATTCGATCGTATATCACGCTCCTAAATTTTAAAGCGTACATTCAAAATATTCGATTTGGCAGTGCAAACTGTATCCGTGATGGGGTACAAAATTCAAATCGAACGTCAATAGCGCTTGAATTTTGTCGAGATATTTGAACAGCTCCCATAAATGCGACTATCAATTAATGAATGAGAAACTGAAAACTTTCCTATAAACAGAAATACCCCACGACCACCAGAAATGAGCACCAAAAAAGCGTAAGTATGGGAATTTTTCAATTAGTTGTTTACTGTTTTACTGTTTCTCAAATAATTTATAGCGCAGCTGCCATGTTGTTCTTCTTCTTGTGCCACTCCTAGCGGAGACTAGAAATCGTCAAGGCTATCCGGACCTTGTTTACAGCTGACCTAAAGAGTTCATTAGTGGTTCAGCTAAACCACTCTCTCAAATTACGAAACCATGACATTCTTCTACGGCCTGGATACCGTTTTCCATCTATTTTTCCTTGCCTTATATTTTGAAGTAATGCGTATTTATGTCCTCTCAAATATTCGAGTTTTCTTCGTTTGATCGTTGACAAAATTTCTGGGTCTTTTCCTATCCTTCGTATTTCTTCAAAGTTTGTGACTCTTTCAATCCAACTTATCTTCAGCATTCGACGGTAACGCCACATCTCGAAACTTTCAACATTTTTTATGTTGTTCTGTTCGAGAGTCCAGGCCTCTACACCGTATAATAGCGTGTTAATTGTGCTTATATCTCTGTTGCAGAATAATTTCCTCATCTTTATGAAGGCGGCTCTAGAAATTTCGATACGTCTGTTTATTTCATTGTTTTGATCTCCAGTTTCGTTTATTGAAGTCCCCAAGTATTTGTAACTTGATACTTTTTCAATTTTAATGGAGTTTATACTAATATGTGCTGGTTGTTTTATGTTTTTTCTGAAGACCATATACTTTTTTCATATTGATATTTATGCCATAATTGTTGCAGGCAATATTTATATTTGTAAGTACTTAATCGTTGTAATTCTTCTACTGTTCTTGCAACTAGTACAGTATCGTCTGGGTATCGAATATTATTTACAACCTTTCAAATGATTACGATTCCTTCGTTTGCGTGCAAAAGGGTTTCCCGGCGGATGCTTTCACTATAAACATTAAATATCAGCGCTGACAAAATGCTTCCCTGTGGTACTCCTCTACGTATTTATTTTACTTGTGATATATCATTTTCTATTTTGATGTTAGCTTTCTGATTCCAATATAGATTGAGAATTATTCGCAGGTCTTTATTAATGGTAATGGATTTTGACAAAAGCTATGAGTCATGCGGATGCAGTACACAAGTTTACCTGCTATTTACAAGCTCATAGATCTTGTCAAAATCCATTATCTATATCTATGTTCTTTCTCTCAAGAATGTCTCTTAGCTTATCACGGCGTACTCTGGCAAACACTTTTTCAAAATCGATAAAACATGCATGTACTTCCTAATTAACGTCTTAATTAACCAAAGAGAGCTTCTCGAGTACCTAGTCCTTTTCTGAACCCCAATTGTGTATCACTAATATCTCATTAAAGATATTGTTCGATGTTCTGAACATTCTTTTGCATTGGGTTTCTTTGGCCGTGTAACGAATGTAGACCAACAGCCACTCTTGAGGTATAATACCAGTTTTGTATATTGTGTTAAATAAGTGCAATATTA